AATATCACATGCTGTTTTTATATTCTTGTCCTGTATATATGTACCGGCTTAGTATGGCATCACTTTCCTCCAACGTGCTCCAGATGGTGGTTTAAAAAAAAAAAACAGCCGCCACCATTTACGAGCTTTGACGGATGGATGATGTTTCCGAACACCTGCATCAACCTTAATTTACATTAAACAAGACATTTTTTTTTTTCTCTGTAATCAAACGTCCCAAACAATCTGCTTTCAGGCGCCTTGATGAGCTCATTCATCTGAATCCTGATTGGTCCGACTCCTCCGCTTTAACTGTGGACAGACGTGGAGGTGGAGGTGGAGGTTTGGACCTCCTGCAGCCACTTCACCTCCTGTCAACCCTTCCCTCAATTGAGCGAGTGAATTATTGATATGTGGAGGTGGGGGTTGGTGCGTCGGCTGCTACCCGCTCCCATCTACCAGCTCGCACAGACGTAAACCCCTGACGGTGAAAACCACTTGAGATGACATGATTGAACCGTACAGGGCGGCGCAGGCCTGAGCTTCTGGTGGAACGTGAACCACATGGCCTCGGCAGTGGGGGGTTGAGGGAGCTCATGGTTAAATTATTCTTTCACTGGTGCTTAAATCAAGTTGGTGTCGAGTCTAACGCAGCAGCAGACCCAAAAAAACATGGCGTTGATTGTGGCATGTGAGCCAGATGATTTTGATGATAGGGGTGGCCATGCTGAGATAATTACCCCCTCCGGCAAATCGCTGTTGTCCAAATAGTCAATTTTTGGTCACTTATTCTTAACGTTTGCTTATGCGGCCACGACTGCCACGCACAATTAAATTGTCGGTCCATATTTTCTGCCTATTCGGCATCAGGTTGTGGTGGCAGCAGGATAAGCAGATCATTCCAGACGTCTCTCTCCATAGCAGTGTTTTCCAGTTCTGCCTGGAGGATCCCAAAGCCTTCCCAGGTCAGATGACATATGTAGTCCTTCCATAGCGTTCTTGGTCTACCCCGGGTTCACCTCCGAAGGAAATCACTCAGTAGACATCCAAATGAAAAGTCTGAACCACCTTAACCACTTTTGTTGTGAAGGAGCAACAAATCCACTCCGAGCTCCTTCTGGACGTCAGAGCTATTCATCTTATCTCTAAGACTGAGCTCAGCCGCCCTACAATACTCGGTTGCTAGTACTTGCTATCTGATCCTTATGGTCACTATCCAGAGTTCATGGCCATAGGTGAGAGTAGGAACATACATCGAGTCGTAAATCGAGAGCTTTGCCTTCTGGCTCAGCTAATTCTTCCACCACAATGGTCCGATACAACACAAGGAGTACTACCCCAATCCATCTGCCCATCTGATGCTGCAGTTTCCAGTCACTCATGAATAAGATCCTGACATACTCAGACTTCTTTACTTGGGGCAGCAACTCATGTCCAACCCAGAAGAAACAGTCTAATTAATTAAAAACATAAAATGGAAAATAAAAGATTGCATTAGAATGCACCTCCTTCAAGTCAGTGTTTAAAAGTTGTACCTGTGGCTGCACTTACAGCATTGATCTTGTATAGATCTCAATCAGCCTCACACATATATAGACACTGCAATGTTACCTCACTCTTCTTTGAAAACATTGTATCAGGTTGTACGAGGATCATAAGTTAAGAGCCCTTTTCAAGTTCAGCCACAATATTCTTAGTTTGATCGAGGTCTGGGATCTGACTCCAGAACATTCACCCCGTTGTCTTTCAGCCACTTCTGTGTAGCTTTGGCTCTATGCTTCAAGTCAGCGTCTTGCTAGAACACAATTCTTCTCCCAAGTCACAGTTTTCTTGCAGGCTTTCCTCGTGGACTTCCCTAAACTCTGCTGCATTCATTTCACCTTCTACCCTGACAGGCCTTCCAGTACCTGCTGCCAACGAGCAGCCCCATGATGCTGCTACCGCCATGCTTCCAGGTGCCACTTTTAAAAACCCATAAAAACTATGTTGTTCCTCGCGTCATACCTTGTTTTAAGCATTTGACCATAAAACATTTAAAGAGAAGTGCCGACACGTGGGTTCAGTATCTCTAAATGAAATCGTAGTCCACATGCGTCAAACTACCCCCGATGCAGACTCATGTGCCAAGAATAAATGAACGCTCACAAACAGCTCAGCTGATGTCAGAGACGTCCCTGTCTGACTGCTGCTGGCTCAGATGAGCTCACTGTGGCTCTGACAGACCTCAGCAGCTGCACACATGGGCTCCCCTTCCCCAGCACATAAATACAACTGCTACACAAACCACCCCCCCTGAGACAACACACCGAAACACACAAGCTGCAGCGTGGACGCAGCGGGCGGAAATCAAGGAGATTCACGCAAATAGGTTACAATTTTTACATTTTTATTCATTAAGATTACAGAATTTTTTAATTATTGCTCATCATCTACCATTATCACTTGCAATATTTAAACATAGGGTTCTTTTTTTTCTTTATTAGACAACTTAAAACATGTTTGAGAATTTTCGCCAGTTTGCACTGTATGAGGATTTACAACAATAAATACAGGAGTCGATTCTTCTTTTACTTTCCTATACTTTTAAAGGTTGTCATATCTGTATATAGTAGGTATATACATATACGATGCTGGTGTCTTCCCCTGCCCACCCATGAGTCGGTCAGCGCAGCGGCCAACAGAACGGTTTCTTCCCCCTAACGCACAGGCTAGGATCCTGAGGCAGCTGTTAACAAAGCAACTATGGCCTACAAAAAAAAAAAAAGGATGTGTACAAATACAGAGAGACATTTAGACACTCTCACATCATCTATAATCACCTCGGCTTTCTCTCAAGAGACGTTAACGCACGAGAGGGGGAAAAAAAAAAGAAATAAGACAACAGGTTGAAGAACACCCAGACGACAGATCGCACTACTTCAAAATAAAAGGAGATTCCCAACAGCACAAGGAGACAGAAAAAACGCACAAACATTGGCAGGGAACAGTGTGACACCGGACTGTGACACAATATGGGGTTTTATTCCACTGTGGCGTATCCACCTTTTAAATTTTTTTTCAGACTTGTTTTTGCAGTAAACAAAAGGAAGAGTTTGACACTGTGGGAAATGGGGTTGTCATGATAGCAGATTTTCACAATAAGATTATCGCGGGCAAAAGAAATCACAATAATATCGCGATAATTATTGAAAATCTTATTTTTATGGCAGGACACCAATGCTAACACTGCTACCTACTATGTTGGAGTGTATATCAGTATATCATTCCTTCTTTTTTTTTTAATGATTTCCCAAAATGTTAAACTATTCCTTTAAAGGCTTTGGTTAGTTTTATAATCAGTCACAAAAACTAAATTGAAATGTGCAGGCAAATGTGAATTTTTGAGCGAGAAAATGGGTTTATTCAGCTGGTAAACAAAGCTTTTTGTGCTTTTTCTACCTGTTCAAAGGATGTAATGCAGTACAGTGAATTTTTTTGGACCTGGATAATGAGTCACTATATATTTGTGTGTTTTTGTTTGATCTCGCTCTGTTAAAGTTGAGCTGGCAGCGTTTCCCGGCAGGCTGAGCAGAGAATCAGGTGCAGAGCCGGTGTAGCAGCGGGCCGGACGCTTGGCAGTCAGGTGAAATCACCGTCAGGACTTTTCTAATTTCGACTGTCAGGTCAGCTGGGGACGAGCTGCAGAGGATGGCAGCTCGTTACACTCGGAAAATCCACTTCTAAAGGCCAATGCACACCAATTTGCAGTAATGCTAAATGTGTTTCTTGGATGGAAATAAAGAAATAGATCAGATTTTGTGAGTACCAAAGCGTTGCTGTGTTGTTTGTGTATGGTCAGCACAGTAAATCCTAACAGCACCATACTGTTTAATGAGGACCTGATAGCAGGAATCTGTAGAAGTACCGACCTGGCAACAACTTTCTGTAAATATTTTTTGTCACAGTATTCAAAAATGAGAGTTTGAGTCCATTTAATACACTTATTATTAGAACATTTAATTGCTTATCTGTATGACATGTTGATTTTTTTTTTTGCCTTTCAAAAAGTAATGATATTAGATGGCGCGGAAAGAGGAAAAAAAGATAGAAAAATCTTAATTTCTATATAAATATCTAAATATACAGTATACCCTTGTGATGATCCGACAGCCTGCCATGCTTCTAATGCGTTAAAGTCATTCTCGTTAAAGGAAAAGACTAAATGAAAATTACTTCTCTCCATGATGCGAGCAGCTGGACGTGGAGAAAGAGGCAGCCAATGAGATGGTTTCACTGCAGGTTTGAGTGACAGGTGGGAAGAACCGGTCACCATCCAGTCATGTTTCTTAAAAAAAAAAACAAAAAAAAAACCTACAGGCTGATCCGAAGGGACAGAACGCATTGTAAAAAAAAAAAAAAATGCTTAAAAACAGACAACGTGAATCTTAATCAAATAAAATACACGATATGATTGGACCCTGAGACCCCGCCCACTACGTCTAGCCCCGCCCCTTTCAAATATTACACAAGAGAAAAACAAAATCACAAGTAGAAAAGAAAAGACAATAACAACAACAAAAAAATAATGACAGGAAAAAAAAATAATCGTCCGTCACTAAATCTTCAAAAGGTCATCTTCATTCACACGCATTTTTTTGTTTGTTTTTTTTAAATCAAGTTTTTTTTTAATATAGTATATATCTTTTTTTTTTTTTTAGCGTCAGTAATTTAATCTTTAATAGATAAACAATAAAAGATCTGGCAATGGGGAGGGAGTGGGGGAGGACTTACATACAACTCGACACACAAATGAGCATCTAAAGAGATAATGATGGCGAAAAGACGAGTGGAAGGGAAATAAAAACGCCTTCCGGGGGAGCTAGCTCGTGGCTAATGGCAGGAGCAGCTCCACAGAGTGGTTTATGTTATTATTATTATTACTATTATTACTGTTGTCAAGTGTGAATAAATAAAACGACTGCCATAAGCGCAAGGAAAAGCCACGACCCCTCGGTCCCTTCCCCCCTTTTCCCTCCCCTGGGGCTCGGTCAGAGCTCCTCCCCCTCAGCCCCGGATATAAAGCAGGTGAGTTGACTATCCTGTCCGTCCTTCTTCTTCCTCCTCCTCCTCCTCTTCCTCCTTCTTCTCTGTGAGTCTGTGCCATTCATGGAGTATTTCCTCAGTTCACCCCCAACGCTGGTTTAATACCTTTAAAAGAAAGAGAAAACTCATCAGTTAGCAGCAGTCAGAGTTAACAAATAGAAAGCTCACGTTAGAATATATTCTTATGGTTAGGTGCTGCACGATTCCTGACAGTTTGGTGACTTTTTTTTATGGACATATTACCAAACGACAGAATGAAAAGGCAATGACTCGTAACTGAACGAACCCAAATGCCATGTCAGTACATTACGTTATACACTTCTTGCTATTTAGTAATTTTTCAGTCATATTGCTGCGATAAAAGCCTCAGAAATCTTTAAGTTAATTCTTCTTTATTTTTAGCATTATTTTTCCTTGTAATTGTGGTTTTGATTTGGTCAAAACACATAAAAAAGAAAGAGTGAATGGCAGCCTGGGTTCTGACTGAGTGTTAAAGTGGGAACGAACAGGTTCTGGATTAACTTCAGCCATAAGGAGATAAAAGTTAGTGACATGTATGTGATTCATCAACAGTAATAAGTAAATTGTTTGATAGAATATGTCTGAAGATCATATTTAAATGCACATAACAAAAACACAAAGTTGGGTCCAGGACTAATTATCCATCCATCCATTATCTATATTATCTATACACCGCTTAATCCTCACTAGGGTCATGGGGGGCTGGAGTCTATCCCAGCTGACTCAGAGGGAAGGCAGGGGACACCCTGGACAGGTCACCAGTCTATCACAGGACTACACTTAGAGACAGACAACCAAGCACACTGTGTGGACTGTGTGGGAGGAAGCTGGAGAACCCAGAGAGAACCCACGCTGCACGGGGAGAACATGGAGACTCCACGTAGAAAGATCCTGGGTGCCTCACCGGCGACCTTCTTGCTGCGAGTCAACGGTTCTACCACCTGCTCCACCTTGCAGCCCAGGACTGATCAGTAATAATTTATTCATCGATTCCTTTGTTTATTCATCTTATCTATTCAATGCATCATTTATTACTTCATTTCTTTTTATTGTGTTCTATTTTCATGACTTCTATTTTGTTCTTTACTGACTATTTTTCTATTTTTTAATTTTTTATTTATAGATGTTTATTTTATTGCATTTAATTTCATCTGGTGATTCCTCATTTCCTGTTTTTGAGTCTTTCATTTATAACATGATGTCAGGTGTTGTTTGTACTGTTTAACTGCATTTTTAGTCCTTTCATCCGTAAAGAACTTTGTCTAATGTTTAATTTGTGTGAAAAGTGCTGTATTGTTTAAATAAAGTCTGAATGACTGAAAACTGATATCCAGTTGTCATTTTTTCCACCAAATCTGCCAAGTTAAAAACACAAATGGGTGTTTTACTTTAGCAGAGCACTGAGACAGTAGTAATCAAGGCGTAAATGTAGATTTTTTTGTGTCCTGTTTTAGTTGGTAGTTGCCAGACTCTGAGGGAAATGGAAAGCGATCAGGTTTTCACAAGGAGGATGTGCAAAGGTTTGAAAACTGGCTCGACAAGTCACATGTATATATTCCAGGTAGATAAATTAAACTGATTCTCACAAATCTTCAATATCTTCCGAACATGGAAAGAAGCAGGTTTTTCCCGTTTGGGGCTTTGCAGGTTAAGACAACGATTAAATGACCTTATTAAGTCAAGATGACGCTCTTGAATGTTGTCTAAATAACGCTCCGAGAGCAAGTCGGCATTTGCACTCAGCAGAAAAGAGACGCCAGTCAAGTGCTGAAAGTCTTTATGAATTCGAGTTCAAAGAGATCAACAGAGCGGTGAGTCAACGATCCTGCTGACTGAATCACATCCAGGAGGCTGAATCACAGAAGAACATAATAGTTTTGACCCGAGACCTTCAGGATTTGGAGCAGACAGTAAGCAAAGTAAACAAGATATCTGTTTACTTGCTTATTCACTGATTCTCACTGTAAGGATGTAGCTACAGTAGGCACTCAGAACTGAAGGCTTTCCGTCTCGTCAGCTAATAAATGCAGATTAGAGAAGTTCAACTGATGATTTTTAGTTGCATCTATTGTTTTGGGGAAAACGGAACCCGACCGGATTTAAAAAAGAGTTTGAAAGTTTTTGAAAATCAACCTTTTACACACACACACACACACAGGACTCAAAGCTGCACTTTTATTTACAAGATTTTTCTCTTTGACCAAGAGTCGAGGCTGTTTCTGTACCTATAGTAGTTTGGCTTAAAGGGTCCGTTCTTGTTCAAGCCCAGATACTTGGCCTGCTCATCAGTCAGCTCTGTGAGATGTGCATCAAATGTGGGGAGATGTAGACTGGCCACATACTCATCTGGAGAAAGAGAGAAGAGAACGTGTTAATATTCACCCGGCGTCTGTGGTTGACTAATGCTTTAAATGAGGAGGCAGCAGGGAGGTAACTGGGATTTGCTGGTTTTCTTCTGTCTTCTCGCTTCCTCCCTCGTCTCATCTTTACTGTGGCGGCAGCAGCAGCAACAGCAGCAGTCGCTGACAGCCTGACCTACATTTGGCTGCTTTTCTTTACTATGTATGAGGAACGTGACGGGCGACGCTGGCGACATGCTGTGAGCTGTTCACATACATGCGGACGCACAGGACTCGTTCTGCTGTGAAGGCTTTTGTCGTCCGGGGAGACGGCGACTCTGGACGGAGCAGATGAGACCCACTGTGTCGTCTGAAGGGATGAATTCCATCTGCTGCAGGCTTTTTCCGCTGGGCCAAACAAACTGGCTGTAATCTCTTCCTGTCCATCTCTGTGGTCGGTGGCTACTTATGTGACCGACATTACTGGTCCAGTGTCACACCGTGTTGTGCGTTTAAACAATTTGACATGAAGTGTATTCCTTAGTCCTGCATTAGGAGCTCTTTGGCCAAAGCTTCACGTCTACACATTAAGAAATGAGGGAAATCTGGGCCGCTGCTATGGCTCAACTAGTTGAGCTGGCGACCCACGTACAGGGGCTGTAGTCCCCGATGCAGTGGTCATGGCTTCGAATCCCGCTCATGGACCTTTGCTGCAAGTCCTTCTTCCATTCTTCTCCCACACTTTCCTGTGTCTCTTCTCACTGTCCTATGCAAACGGGACAAAAACAAAAAAGAAAAGAGGGAAATCTTACCCATTTTCTTGGGCAGCAGGTAAACATCCTGCTTGTAGCGTCCCTCGGGGGCGTTGTACAGCTCTATCAGAGCCAGCGCCTGGGCACAGACACACAACTGTTACCCATGTGTACACACAAGAAAAAACACACAACAATTTCTGGCTTTGATATCAAAAACTCTCCAAACTCCTGGCTGCTGTTGTTTTTTAGGGGTTTTTTTGTTGCTCCTCTGGGCTCATTTTTCACTGCAATGTAGTCAAGTTAAATGTATTTATAAAAAACATTTGAAACAACAAGAGTTGAACCAAAGTGTTGCACAATTATTAATAGCAACCCAGCAGACATAAACACAATGACTAAATTCTGAATAAAAACACGATACAACTAAATAAAAGAAAGTCTGGGGTGAAGTTTTAATTAATGGGTCTTCAGATTAAAGTCCCAGCAGTTCTTACACAAAAAGCAAAGTGTTCTAGAGGTAAAGAGCAGCTACAACGATGGCCTCTGCTTTTGTTTCTAGATCTCCAGAACATTTAAGAGCATCTGGCTGGTCGACCTCAGTGCTCTAACTGGGGTATGAAAATGTAAGAGTTCTGCTAAATCCCATTTAAAACCTTCAAAACATACAAAATCATAAACATAGATCCTGAAACACACAGGAAGCCAGTAGAGAGAGAGCTGCATTTAAAACCAACTCTTGAGTAGAGAAGAAGATAACGTTCTTTTCAAATGGAGGGTTCAGGAGGGTTCAACAAACAAACAAACAAAAAAGGAAGAGAGAGGAAAATACACAACATGTTCAACAATGCGATCCACGGTTTGTACCTGGGTCGTGGCAGTGATGGAGAGCACGAAAGTGGGCACAGTGGAACAGCTGAGGTTCAGCAGTCGGCCCTGGAGAGGAAGAAAAAAAAAACATAGAAAAAAGTTGGTGAACACAAAACAAGGGATGAATCAGCTCAGATCTCAGAGTCCCTCATCAAACAGGCTGTTGTGTCAAACTGACTTCATTCCAGTTAATCAAAGAAACATCATCAAAAAGTCTTTGAAGCCATTTTGTGTTTTAATTATTCTAATTAAACCTTCAGCAGTTTATCTTCCCTCAGCTTCTGTGGAAGTTACCACTGGGCATCATCGTACTAAGAGATGAAAGCAATGAGGATTGTTTTTTTTCTGCAGCTGATGTAGCTGCTGGATTGTCCTGAAGCTGAACTACTGTAGGAAGAAGGGGAACAGAGAAAAGTTTCCTTGTTGTTGCAAAGCAGAACAGAAACTGTGGATGTGATTTAATGTCCAGCTCACACACTGAACCTCACACTGTGTTCAGCCCCAAATTATTCATATCTGTGCCAAATGTTGGTGCAAACTGAGGCTTTATTGGACCAATAGGTTTGTTTTGGCTGGAAATGCTTCAATATCAAGAGGTATAAGTGATTTTGGAGATGGGACCTTTAGTAAAAATATTAAAAAACAACTGTCCTTTGTCACTTGTTTGTGTATTTTACCGCCAGAATAGAACTCTATCAGGGGTATGAATAACTTTGGGCTAATGTGGGCACATCATTTCGATACGGTTTTAAAGGAATGTGTGTTTTCATGTGTGGAAGAATCTCACTGTGTCTTGTATTATGCACACACAGAGAGACTTCACAACTCGCCTGCACAAACTTGTCTTTGTGGCCCGTCTCAGTTTTAACAACGGAGTCACGTACAGCTCATGAATGTGTATAAATACATGCATGAGTGTGTTCTGGTACATTGTGTTGTAAGACAAAGAGGAATGAATTAAGAAACAACACTTAAAAGAAAAACTGATTCCAGACATGCTAAATAATTACAACTTAAAATAAACAGCGTTTCTGGATTCAGGTTCGGAACAGAGTACGATGTGAAGCTGAGGTGAGGTGAGGATGGACGATGGGATCTACTGATGTGGTTTAAACCTGCTGCACATCAAACGGACTCGCAGACAAAGGCGTCAGCAGGTTGGCAGCTTGTCTGTCTGGCCCAGTCAGACTGCTCTCATTCTGTCACACCGACTCACCACCCTCACCTCCACCTGCAGCATGAGGGTGCAAAGCTCAGTGTGCACATATGCGTTGAAAATGGGGTTTTCCACAACTTGTTGACTAAGTTTGAAGATTTTTGATGAACTGTATCCCTCTGGGTATTTTTACTCACGGTGGGCTCATTTTTCACTGCAGAATGGAAGCTTGTTAAACGGTCATAAATCATAAGAAAGAAAGAAAGCTACACTTTGATTATTTACTTTACAAAAATGGAAAAGCCTGGAATCAACGTGTACATCAGCTGTCAGGTTTTACCAACTGACTCTACATGCTACAGTTATTTAACTCTTTACATTTTTTATTTGCTTCCTATCTGCTAAACACTGTCTGCAGTTCAGCCAAAAAGTCCCTGAAGTTTTGTCAAAAGACTGTTGGCTGCAGCTGAGTCCCTCATGGCTTCACAGATGCAAGGAGCAGCGTAGAATTTTTTTTATTTGAAAAATCTGCTTAGCAACTTATTTTGAGCTGAGATTTGGTTGTTTTCCAGATGAAAGCTACACATGATTAGTTCAAGGACCAGAAAGTTGAAGATATGAAAAATCGTGCTGCTTTTAGTTTCTTTCTATGATAAATGGTGTAATTATGGTGATTAAAAACTTGCTTTGTGTGCATGAAAATGTAGGCATTTCCATTCATCATCATCACTGTGATTTTAACAGCGTTTCTTCTCAAAACTACCAACCAATGCACCACCCTATAACACCGCTTCCTTTCTGAAGGATTACAGACGTTGAAAACCACGGGTCAAACAAATGGGTCAATACACTGTCAAATAGTCACAATACTAACAAAATAAAGTCCTTTTTGACATTTTTTTTTTTATAAATGAGCCAGGTAGAATAAAGTGATTTTGACGAAATATCACAATTTTAGATTTGGTTAAGTTTGCCGACAGAATGGCATGTGACAGATTATTAGTTCAAGAACCATCAAAAATTTACAAATCTAGTGATTATTTCTGTTTTCATAATGTCTGTCTTGGATAAATGTTGTAATTCAGCGGAAAAAAAAAAAAAAAGAAAAAGATAACAAGCCTTTCAAAACAAGCAGCAGGTTTTGGGGCTTAGCTGTTACTTAGATGTTTATTAAATGTGACTGAGCGCAATTGTCTGATTCTACCGCAAGTAACAGGCTTGACAAAACATTCACTACGGTGAGTGACGCTACTGGCTCCCAGAGATTGTTGTGCTTTACAAACAAACCGCTAAAAACAGTATCTGGTTCACATGTGGTCACACTGCTTTGGGTGTAAACTGTTGTTTTGTTGCACTGATGCGATCAATCAGTGCCCTCCGTTTGTGTGTCTTTGTGTGCAGTACCTCTGCCAGCAGGACTATCCTCTTGCCGTCGGGCCAGATTACATGGTCCACCTGAGAGCGGACTCTCTCCCAGGTCAGCTCAGGAGTCCGCAGGCTCGCCTAAAAGGTGAGAACAACATCATCAATGATTTTTGTTTCATTTCTGTTGTGCTGAACTATCCTCCATCTATCATGTTTTGTCTTTTCCAGGTTTGGAGTGACTCATGGCTTCCTCTCATATGTGTATTTTCTTCATCATTGTGTAAAAAAAATCCTTTCATTGCTCCTATATTTTTCCATTTCAAGCATTTCTGTGTCAACGTTTTATGATCAGCAGAAAAAAAATCAGAGCACCACAACCATTATTTTTATCTCATTTCTATAATCCCACTCTCTTTTTATGTTGCATTCACTGTTGAACACTGTGCATGAGTTAAAAGCCTACAATTAAAATAAAACCCTCCGTCTGTTTTATGACTTTACATCAGCATTAAGCTTCTCGGACACACTGACATCAAGCTGTAGGATCACAACTGTCATTAAAGATCAGGACAGTAACAGTCATTGTAGTTTAAGTGCAGTGTGATAGCCACACTACTCAGAGGACAGAAAGAGCTCTACTCATCTTTATCTTTAAAAAAACCTTGACCTCTAAACAGCCACTATGTCGCCGGTGACCCATTTAAGCTAGTTTAAAGCAGCGTAGCACGGCACATAAAGATGTTTACATTTTTGTCATTATGAACGTGGCACACGTGGATAGATCGGTTTGTGTCTTAAAAAAAAAAAAGCAGTTTGATCAGTTCATTTCATGTAGGTTGGTCTGGAATCTCATAAAGGTGTAGCTGACTAGATGTAGATGGTATTGAGGTAATTTGCACTGTTTGGCTTGAAGCATGTTCTAGTTACCGTTATGTAAATAAGGGTTGGGCATCTGGAACTGGTTCCAAATTAGAACCAGTTCTAACAGAATAACTCAGAAAGTTTAATGTCAATTCTGCTCATCAGTTCCTAAACAAATGTCCCTTGTGCTGGCAAACACCTCCACTATACCTACTGCTGTCCTTCTTCAATGTTAGTCATGTGATTTGAATGCTGCTTAATTAGCGAGTAAGTAAAATGTATTTATAAAGCCCTTTCTACAGACAAAGTTCACAAAGGGCTTTACAAAGGCAATTCTGGTAGATTAATCGTAGCAACTGGACCTGCTTGAGTTGATGTTTCACCTCTCATCCAAGAGGCTTCATCAGTTCTGACTGACTAGTTGGGAGTTCCAGATACTTATATCCTTGAAGAGTCATTAACACCTGAGTTTCGGTTTCAATTGGGGGTTTGTTACTCCTCCCGCTTGTTATGTGAGTTGTTAGTGCTCCTCCTGCCACAAAGGGATTCGTTAGGGTCTTTTGTGATTAGGTGTGAATGTGGTTTCATCTTCCTGGGGAGAGATCTTAGGACTGAATTGTAAACAGGTGAGAGGTGACGCCTCAGACCTCCACCTCTGTTAGGTGATGGTCTTTCCAGTTTGACATAGATGGCTAACGAATCCCTTTGTGGCAGGGGGAGCACTAACAGAACAAATTGTTTAGTTTTTTCTCGGAACAAATCACCTTAAATTTAGCGAATTCTGCTTCAAAATGCTTCACAGGAACAAGATTAGACTCCACTGTTGTTGGACTAAATGGCTAAAGTCAACATGAAAATATAATCAAGAAAAAAACGCTGCTGTCGTCGTGGTTACTTTCTGTAGCTCCGTGTTTCTGCAGCTAACATCTGTCTGTGTAAGCAGCATCTCATACAACTCTACTATAAAGAATGCAGGAGGATGCCACAGTAGCATGACATGAACAGGGACTCTTTATTCTCTTCAACACAAAGACTTTCTGTAACTATTCAGCTCATCTAGACAGCCGACTAAAGTAATTTTATCACCCTTATAGCAACACTTTACTGTCACTGCAACAACATGCTGCTACCTCTCTCACACACCGAGTGAGAGTCACTTCCCACAACAAACCCACTGATCTACGTCAACACCTTCATTAAAGAGGATGTGCAGTCAGGCTGTGGCTGCTTAACCTCACTGGTTAAAAAACACAGTGACTGTACTAAATCGTATCATTATTAAGTGATTGTTTAGCTTGACAAACACAGATAGGCAAAAAGTACTGCACTGAAAATGTTACTTTGAGTGAAAGTATGTTATGATACTCTGGAAAATGCTGTTAACACTTAAAACACCATCAAACCGCCGCCGCTCCCCATTTTACAAATGCTGTTTGAATTGCCATTATTCCGTTACAGTTTGTGCTCAAGAGAAAATTCAAACGGTTTCTGAAAGAAGAGAAGACGAGTTTTAAGGGGATAATCAATGCATTATGATAGCACAATGCACTCACAAGTTACTGCTGTCTGAAGACAGACAAAAAAAAAATCAGCTCTGCCTCGATTTTATTATGTGGGCTTCATGCTACTGTAGCTTCTCAACCATTTGGGCTACAGAGAAAAACGGGACAAAAGCAATCACTCATTGTATACTTTCTGACTATTTCACAGCCAAAATAACAAAAAAAAGTCAAGGTGGCCTGTGTGATACTTCAGTGTTAAAAGTCAAAGTACAAAATGCTGAAAAACCTCTCCTGTGACTGCTATAATACATTATATCATCAGATTATTATTACTCATGGATTCATGTAAAAGCAGGATTTTGTTACTGCAGTAACTAACCGACTTCAACAAAGAGAATCTGAATTGAGAACACTAGAATACAGCCATATTCAAATGTTTTCATCCTCATCTATATACGTTAGAACTTCTTTGAGGCAGAAACTGGAAGATCTTTATCTTTCACATAAAGTCCCACTCATGTATTTTACAGTTTCTCTGTTAGGAGTTTTCCCTGATTCCATACAACTGGGTGGAATTTTGAGGCCCCATTCCCTAATCTGGCTACGATTGCGGGTTCTGGATCAGTCGGTCACTGCAATTCCCACTTCCTCAAACTAAGCTGTCAGTTACCATGACAACACTGAACAATCAATGCTCAAGGTCAAGCGTTACCGACGGGACGACTTTCGACGAGCTGCCGGGAGCTGCTCGTGTTTTGGTTTCTATATCGCAGATTTGTTCCGTTGCATCCGTTTTATCTTCTAAGAGAACAGCCGTTCTGACACGAGACGAGCGTTTGACCTGAACTTCAGCGTGACTTGATTTGATAAGTGATGACTAACCACGTCGATCTCGGTGTTGGAGTGTCCCATGTTGCAGACAATGCAGCCGTTCTTCATGCGGTCGAGGTATTCTCTCACCACCACGTTCTTGTTGCCTGTGAGGACGCAAAGAACAAGCGATTACAACACTATCTGGGGGGGAAAAAAAAGAAGATAGAAAGAAAAAGACGAGCGGTTTTATCAGATGCTACGGTGGAGAGGGCCTGAATAAGTTTCAAAAACCTGATATAGAGAATCTGGGGCATGAAAAAAAAAAAAGTTACCTCACATGATTTAATTACTTATCTCAGACGTTGAGCACAGTTAATTAGGTCTGCAAATGTGACTCAGATGTTCCACCTGTCTGCACAGCACATTTTAAAAGGACTTGAACGCGTCTTTTTGCATCTGATATTTAGATAAAAAGGAGCTAAATTCTTCGAAAAAAGGCTCCTAAAATGAACAAATAACATAAAAAAAAACAGTTAAACATAAATAAACATCATCTAAATGAGCTGCAATGTGTGTTTTGCTCATTTTACTACATGAATCTAACAAGCTGTTTGAGTTTTGCTTCGACTGCTATGAGTATGTGACCTCATTAGAGCTGCTGCCCGCCCCGTTTTCTATATTTCTCAACACTTTGAAAGTTTAACAGTAAAAAGTTCCCGCTAGCTCCATGCATTCTTTTATTATCTTTCCCGCTCAGTTGCGGTTCGACCCTGAACACGGGCCTCTCTCTGCTGCAGGCCTCCCAGCAGCATTAGGTAATGAAGCAGAGACACAAGTAATTCTCTGCTCCAATTAAGTGTTCGGCTCCCTGGCTGCTGACCTGAGAACTTGATTAGTAACTGCCGCAGACTGATGACCGAATATGTGTCTGTTCACCCTGAATGGGTGCAGACGGAACACTGTGACTGGCTGTTTTATGTCTTGCACCCTCCCGAGTTGGTCCTCTCGTCTGACACTGTTTATTTATGCACTGTTAATTGTGGATTATGTCCCAGCACAAAAGCCGACAGGACAAATCCTTGTACGGCTGCTGTGAGGCGATTAGTCAGCAATCCAACGATTATGATGCAGAACTGCTCGTAAATTTCAACTTCACCGGCCACAAGTGAATGAGAGGCAAATAGAAGAGATAGAGGCGGAACAAACCTGTGCAAGTGATGACGATGTCCACTTGTCTGATGACTTCGTTGAGTTTCACCAGCCTGAAGCCGTCCATGCTGCGATCGGTGGACAGAGAAGAAGACTGAGGCAGTGTCAACACCAACAGTATGCCAGAAGAAAGCTGAAAAAGACAGAAGCTTACCAGGCCTGCAAGGCACAGATGGGGTCGATCTCTGTGACGTAGACGATGGAGCCCATTGCTTTGAGGGCAGCGCAGCAGCCTTTTCCAACCTGAGGAGGAGAAAGATAAATGTGCAGTAAACAGAGAAAACGACATAATGTCATATCAGACGCTGAAACTGTCCAGGATGTGTGTGAGTGGATGTCTTTAGGAGTCTATGTGTCAATATAACCTCTGCCTGACTGGATCCAAAATGGATTAAAGTCCTTATCCGCTCTGATGACACCACGGAAAATTATTTAGGAAACTCAGTAGCCTACCAGAATCTGTACCTTTCCCACAGTTTTCCTCAGTGATTCTATTAACATTTATTCTGTTATAAGGTTGAGACAATTAAAAAATCTTGAATATTAATTTTCCTACAGAAGCGGCGACCAACTGCCTGTTTTCTATTATTAAAGTATAAATCCACCTTCTGAATACTAAATTCTAGTGGTTGACAGATATGGATTTCCCACCATCCAACACTGAAGGCAACATACAGCGAGAAGGCCAGGAGATGGACGATATATAAAACAATATTTGATGTGTACTTACTGTAAATAAAAAGATGAACCAACAAAATAAATGCCCACTAGTAATGAAAAAACTGGACTATAATAACTTTTAGAGGGTTTGAGTGCACTTCACAGCAGCATTTATCATCAGATTGCAGCGTCTCCTTCGACTATTCTGGTAAACGGACTGACATCGGATGTTTTGGTAAGTGTGTCGAGTCACTTTCCATTTCCGACCCATCTGCTCACATTTTTCGTTCATAAACCCCATGAGCCAGGATCCTATTATAGCCCATTATCTCAAAATGGCATTTAGTCAGTCTGTCATTACTAAATTGTCTTGACTTCCTTCTGCATGCTTATTCATCCACTTATTTTTACTGTTATACTGTATTTTGCAGTAACTGGGCTCTTCTGCCAGCGCGATTTGCACCTTATTTTTCTATCTATCTATCTATCTATCTATCTATCTATCTATCTATCTATCTATCTATCTATCTATCTATCTATCTGCAACATCTCTGTTCTGAGTCAGATGCCTTCAAACTGGGGAAAAACTATCTAAATTCGTCCATTTTTCTCAGGATTTATCATGGTTTTAATGGGATTTCACCTGATTTGTACATCAGGAAGAAGGAAAAGCCTCCAGCATTTCAACCTTTAAGCGAAAACTCGGTGTGTACGGGAACATAAGTCTTACCTCTCCGTATCCACACACCACCACCTGTTTGCCTCCAAACATGACGTCTGTGGTCCTCTTCAGCCTGAAGGCAGAAACACTATTTATACCACACTGGCAGCCTAATATTTAATCACATTGTTTCTTGCAGAGTGGAGGTGGGTGTAATTGCCCTGCAACACTAAATGTTGAACAACAAACACGGTCTGATTTGTAATCGTTAATGAGGTTAAACAGGAGACGGCTTCGTACCCGTCTAGGATGGACTCTCTGCAGCAGTAGAGGTTGTCAAACTTCTGCTTGGTAACTGAGTCGTTGACATTCATGGCTGGAACGCACAGTTTTCCTGCTTTGGACAGCTGGTACAACCTACAGACACATGAGAAACACACACAAAAACCAGAGGATTAAAACTGTGCTTGATGGCAGAATATTACACAACAGCTAGGGCTGCAACTAATGACCGTTTGTCCATTATTTTCTCAATTAAACAAGCAGTTGTTTGGTCTGTAAAATGTCACTACATGGTGAAAAATGCTGGTAAGATGACGTCCTCCTTTTCTCCACAATCCAAATATATTCAGTTTACTGTTATAAAGTAAAGAAACCAGGAAATATTAACAGTTAAGAAGCTGGAATGTGAGGATTTTAGATTTTTCCTTTAAAGGATGACTTTAAATTGATTATTCGATGATCAAAATAGGTGGTGCTTAGTATAATAGTTGACAACTAATCAATAAATCACGGCACCTTTTATGATGTGAAGCAATAATTAAGTAATCCTTACAGAAAAAAAATTTCATTATTTATTACTCATGTGTATTATTTTGTGTAAATCAAACAGAATATGTTAATTGTCTAAGTTTGATTTGCAAACACAGCCATCCTGCCATCGTGCACTAACAACAAACTGTCAGTGTTCAACATTTTCACCACTAGATGGCGATGTTACCACACCAGAGACTACGTGAGCCACTGAGTGTGGTTGTCAATGTGTGGGTTTGTGTAAATATTTACTTGTACATCTCTCATTCAGGATGCACAGAACTGGTATTATGTGAAGCGAAGCAATATTCAACATCTACTTTTACTAAAACATTGCTTTACAAAGACGAGTGCAGGCTCCATGTCCTACCTGTGCACGCCGGTGACACTCTCCTCTACTATGCCCTTGATCTTCTTGAACATGTTGGGATATTTTTTATAAATCCAGTGAGTCAGGTCTCCACCGTCATCCAAGATCTACCAGACAGTCATGGAGAAGGTGATTAGGGCAGGAAAAGACAGAAAGAAACTGTTTAAAACTTGAAGTTTCATGGTCAAATGAGACATTTCAACATTTTTAACAAAGAAAACTATGTGTTTATGTCCATATCTGGTGAGCTTCTCACAGTAGCCTGATGTTAAAATAGAACCAATTCAAGAGGGTACTTTAAGAAGTTCTCAGGCCTCACCCGAAAACAAAGGGCGAAATTCTGGTTTTCGGGCAAAACTGCCTTATATCACTGTCCTCAAAAGCAAAAATGTTTGTCATCTTTTACTCAGAAGGTTGACGCCAGATCAGAAACTGAAGAAAATGGATATTTTGAGGACACTTCTGGTGTATTTTCAGATTGATGTCAGCAGATCTGTGGCCCAGGATAAAACATGGGATCCTGAATCAAAGAATCAAAGCAAACGCATCTGCTGGCAAAGTTATGGCTTCTGTGTTTTGGGACACTGAAGGATGAAGTAATGCATGAAAGTAAAGGAGAATAAGTTGAGAAATATTGCAATCTTTCTCCTGTGATGTTTTCTGGTGAGATTGAGGACTTTCTAAGGTACCTTCTTAGCTGAAAAGATCTAGATATCAGATATAGCAGATGTTGTGCGCCACCAGGATGCAAGAACACTTTCTTGTCGTGATTTAATAGGCTTTATTCAGAGTGTAGGTGTGCTACCATGTTGGGCTGCCAGCCTTCCACGTTGACACAGCGATCGATGCACCACCAGAAGTCGTCCTCTGACTCACCCTTCCACGCAAACACGCTGAAACCTAGGAAAGGAGACAGGAAGCGTTTCATATGGAAAGTGTGGGAAAGTAATGAATGAGAGCGTGATGTGAAAGAGGGACAGTGCATGAATATTTTAAGAAGAAAAGGTCAGATGTCACACCTCCCTCTGCCAGGGCAGCTGCCACTTCGTTCTGGGTGGAGTAGATGTTGCAGGCCGCCCATCTGCACTGAGCCCCCAAAGCTGACAGAGTCTCCATCAGCACCTGAGCAGAAGAAAAAGGATGTTTGAGGTTCTGCTGCAGCTTTTGGGTGAATGTTGTGTTGAGGCTGCGACCGAGTGTTTACTCACAGCAGTCTGGGCAGTGATGTGGGTGCAGCCCACCACCTTGGCACCGGCGAGGGGTTTCTCCCCCTGGGCTCGCTTCCTCAGAGCCATCAGCGCTGGCATCTCTGAAAAGAAGAAGAAGAAGAAAACCCATGCAAGCAGGCATAAGTGGATACAGGAATCAAGCTGGATAGTTAAGGAATTCCCATCATTTAATCCTTCTAATACTTCATCGCTAATCCATCGACTCATCCAGCTGAAAGAGATACTGAGGATATAATGTGTGTGTGCGGCCTGCAGGGTTCAGCGGAGGCTCTCTGCGTATTTTGTGGAGTAATTAGGGGATAATGTTAGTAGCATGTTTTTGGTTTTAAACGGTGTTGAGGGGTACGAGGCATATGGCCACCCAGCAGAGCAGACGAGCAAGAAGAGCTTTCCAAACTTTCTTATTTGCATCCAGCTGGCTACTTTCTAGTAATTTTTGATTCCAAAAAACACAAGTTGCGTTTCACTATGCATCTACGTTTTACAACCGCTAGCCTCCACTTCAAAACAAAGCCAGCACGATGATGAAACATGCCCATCTGTCTGCATCATTCCTGTGTGTTTGCGCTCAGCTGCTGCCGCTGAGTACAGATACAGAGAGTCATCTTCAATGTTTGACGAATAATAGCAAGAAAACTGATGACAAAACGCATTAAGAACTGCATTGATTGCACAAACAGGAGGCCTCCTCATTAGACGCTCTGCTTCAGAAAGCACCGATGGCAGCAACTCTATAGTTATGTAGGAAATATTACAAAGTCCACTGAAATCGCTGTGTAATCCTAACACAGCTCACAGACCTTTACTGGCGTACTGAAGAACAAATACATGAATTTATTTACATTTTTATAGCATAAGATGACTAGAAATTGGGCTGATTCAGTGGATTCACATGATCTGAGTCCAGAGCAACATATGTTTTGCGATGCGCCACAATCTCGAGGAGTTCGAGCAAAAATCTTTCACAAAAACAACTTTTTATACTCAATGTACCAGTTGAAGAAAAATATAATAAAATGCAACAGAAACCGACAACTTGTCATGTGTTTGAAGCATAAACATCCACCCATTTAAACTTCAGATCTGTGTGGACCAATGAGGAGACAATGCATAAAAACAAACATCGTGGTTTCTACATCGTTTTCCACTGTTTAAGGTTTGAGAAACAATCATTTATTGGATTTATTCTCCTACAAATATTGGTGAATTTATTCTGATGCAGCCGACTCTTAATATTTGTAAGATAGTAGAGGACGAAAACGTGCAATTTGTCCTTTTTCAGTTAAGTTTAGATGTAAACTTAAGCTGCTGACTTACAGCTTCCCCCCTACATCACTACAGTCGTTTGCTTTACCTTGCTCGGCGATCTCGATCTCTCTGCGCCCGAAGTCGGCCTGTTTGATGTTTTTGATGCAGAAGTCTCCGTTGCCTTTGGAGTTTTTCTGTTGTTTGTCCCGAGGAGACGTCTCATCGTCGGAGCTGTCCGTGTACGACGCCGCTGCAAATAACCAAACAGAAAAACACTGTTAGAATCCTGCTGCATTACAGTCCCGCTGCAATATAAATGTGTGTAAGTTCTGTAAACGTAATCTAAACTGGATTCATAAGTGCAAAATAAGGACAATGTGGCCCTGCTGCCAGTTTCTCCTCAGTGAATAAAGCCTGTACTTTCCTGAACCCTGCAATTTGACTTCGGTTGGATTCTGGACAGTTTAATTGATTACAAAGCAGCCCGCCAAACCATATCCTCTAACAGAGCAACTCCAGCCTCTTCATGATATCTCACTGGAGCAGAAAACACACTGTATGCAAGTGTACAAATGTGTTTTTAACACTTGAGCATGAAGAGAAAACCTGTCACAGAGAAGCATCAGTGCACCTCTGTGAGATATAAACAGTAGTGGCCACAGTGCTCGCCGGCTGTGCCTGGCACGGTGTGGTTCCGGTGCTGCAGACTGACTCACTACACAGCTGAGCTACTTCATGTGTACAGCAGGTACGTGATGCCAATATCACTCCTACCACCCTCTCAAAATGACCGTGGAGCAGCACCAGATAAGACTGCCAACTCTCTAACAATACTGAAGTGAAGGAACATGCTGTACTGTGCCACGAGGGGACAGGATAGAGAGAGAGGAAAAAAAAAAATAATCCAGGAGTTAACTGCTAGGACAAATCTTCTTTTGAAATCTCCCATCCGTACTGACAGGAGGAAAGGGTGGGGGGGGAGAGTGTGAGCACAGATCATGAGGGTGGCTGTACTGATACTTGCAGAGGATACTGGGACACAGCCAGGTATAGATAATGTGCCAGTGAAGGAAATGTGTTTTGCACCTCGTAATTTCTCTTTGGGAAACAAATAAAATCAAAACCAAGAGGCTTTAAAACAACACAACTGCTGTAAATCAAACGCGACACTTGGCCTCAGGCTACCTTGTACTGACAAAGATTTCTTCTGTAACTCTTCACGGTAAAATGTTCCTATAATAACACAATAACAACTACTGTTAACTTCATGGAAATGTATTCTCACAATATTTATTTTTATGATATGTTAACCCTTTAAGCTCCATGCAGTTCCTGAGCATTTTCCTGCACAATAAAGTACTGCAACTCTGTGCATACAGCAAAACCATGGCTAGAAGAAGAGAAATCCAAAATCTCATCTGAGCAATATGGCATAACTAATGGTTAAAAAAAAAGAAAAAGAAAAATAAGACGCTAGAGTTTCTATTTTCTTATGTTACAAAAAACACATCATCATGTACAATACTTTTCTAAGTGCCTAGAAGTCTTACCAATACTGGAAAAATTGTAAGTTTGTCTCCTATCTGCTCTGTCTAAACACAGCCTGCAGTTCACCCAAGTTTAGCTGAACAGTCAAGTAACTCTTATGACTTTCTGGTTGCACCAAGGAATGCAGATATTCTTTTAAATTTTTTAGACAGAATCTTGTTAGAGCTGCAAGGTGGAGTGGTGGTTAGCATCGTTGCCTTGCAGCTAGAAGGTCACTGGTTTGCATCCCGGTGAGGACACCCGGGATCTTTCTGCGTGGAGTTTGCATGTTCTCCCCGTGCAATGTGGGTTCTCTCTGGGTCCTCTGGCTTCCTCACACAGTCCAAAAAACATGTTGAGGTTAATTGGTGATTCTAAATTGTCCGTAGGTGTGAATGTGAGTGTGCTTGGTTGTCTGTCTCTAAGTGTAGCCCTGTGATAGACTGGTGACCTGTCCAGGGTGTCCCCTGCCTTCACCCTGAGTCAGCTGGGATAGACTCCAGCCCCCCATGACCCTAGTGAGGATTAAAGGGTGTATAGATAATAGATGGATGGAATCTCGTTAGTCCAGATGATTTGTTTCTGGCAAAGTCTAAATGTAGAAAAAAGCGATTTTGTTGGAAACACCACAACTTTGCGCTTTGGTTTAAATTTTTACTATGCTACTGTGCATTACACGTGTTTAGTTCATGTGTCAGAAAGCTGAAAAACTGACGATATTTCCTGTTTTTACAGTTTCTTGCTTGAATAAACGGTGTAATTTTGGTGATCTCCCAAATATGCTTCTCAAACTCGCCAGCAGGTTTTGACGGTTAATGTCTTATGCTATATATATTGATCTTATTTTACAATCAAACACTAATATTTTAAACTTACAAGGTGACTCAAATGTTCTACAGAACCCATGTTAAACAGAACCCATAGCAAAGCGTACTTGGGAAAAGCTCGACTGGTGTATTGAGTGTGGTCTCTACTGTGGGAACCATCAGAGAAATAAAAATCACTCTGGTGAGGGAGTTATGGGAGAAGACAGGGAATCAGCAGAGAGGGAGGAGAGAAGAAAGAAAGCATAAAGCAGAGTTCAAAGGGTTGCACAAGTGTCTGAAAATAACCTGAATTCTGGCAGCACTCACAAGGTTTCGCTCGCTTTACAACAGCTGCCGGTAATAGTTAAAATGCTGACATAAGAAGCCAAAAAAAGAGAAATACTATGTGTCTGGAATAAATATGGACTTAGTGCATTCATCACTATCTCAGTATCTTAGAGAAAGAAACAGATCATTTGTTTAGGAATGATTTCAAAGCCTGAGGATGAAGAGGAAGGTTCTTGGGAGTCCTGCGCTGGTTGTAGGAATAAGAGTGGAAAGAAAAGAAAGAAGAAGTAAATGAAGGTAAAATTTAGTAGGAGGAGGAACTGGAACAAATCCAAAATGAGAGAGGGGTACAAAGCTGCCATGCAAATACAGAGCTGAACTCACAAATATAGATATGAAACACACAGGACTACGGCCAATTTCTGTGGAGTTAATTAAGACTGTTGCTTCCTTTGTAATCACAGTCTTTTGTACACTTTTGGAAACACAATTATCAGTAGGAGGAGCACAAGTTTAGAATATTCTTCTAAAACTGGGTGACCACTGAGATGCATGACAAGGAATTTCAGACACTATATTTAAGGCATTGGCTGAGGCGCTTCCTGAGCAGTTAACACGTTTTTATTGAGATCTTTCTTCTTCTAAAGAGACAGAAACCCGCTCTTTTCCTCAGCTGACCCTATTTGGTGTCGCTTCCCTATAAAAACATGTGGCGGTCTGCAAATGTGCCGGTGGAAAGTCACAGGACCAAAAATGCTTAATCTTTTCTCAGTAAGAGCACCAAGTACTGTGCAGACTTTTTCCCCCGGCACCCTTGACCTAAAGGACCCATTATGGCCGTCCGCTAATACTGCCTGAGAGTCCATGTGTCCATCTGCCATCCATCTGTTTGTCCATCATATTCTGCAACTAGAAGCAGCGCTGACCGAGCAGTATCACACACACAGATTAATACTCATCATGTTAATGGCGTCACTGGAAGTGGTGCGACTGACACACAGCAGGAAATCAAAGTCAAAACAGCTTAAGCAGTGCAGCATTTGCAAAATCTCTGCTTTTAAGGTGGCGATGAGAGGAACAGAGGGCAAAGGTTTAAGAAGAGAGAGGTCAAAAACTAAAGAAGGAGAACACCCACTCTGGATGTTTGACTTTTAACAGAACCAACTTAGCTGATTCCCCGTGTTTATGCTAAGCTAAGCTAAGCTATGGATCGTCACTGTGCAGCGTTTCAGACAGACTTAAGCGTTGTCTCAATCTTCCCATCCAAGTACAAAAGACTATTTCCGAAGATGTCAAACTATCCTTCACAGCAGCATCATTCCCGTGCGCTGCTACAGTGACAGACGATGTATTGAACATCTCCCCAGTGACAAAATGTGTAACGTAGGCTGTATGGTTGCTATGGAAACACATTTTAGCAGGTTCTCTTCAATAAAAAACACTTTAGTCAAATGAAGGTGCATTTCTTTGTGAGCATCTGTCAGCTGTACAACTTTACTGAGCTTGTTTATCTGATTGGATTTTGGCACTAAACAACCTCCAAGTTGTCAGGTTTCCTCCTCCACCTTTATCAGGATGTCCAAGGCCACTAATTTTCACTCCTACATCCACTTTGCCTTAGTTACACTTTGAGGCATTGCGCACCACCCACTGCTGTAGATTAACAAAGCAAACCTCAATGTCCACACACAAAAAACTACACAGATCGGCCACAAAATTAAAAATCTATTATTGCATAGGTCACCCTCATTTGGAGGCCAACTCAAGACCTTCAACTCTTTGTCATGTTCCTTAATCCATTTCTGCAGTGTGCAGGGAAACATTATTCTGCTGTCAGAGGCCACTGCCATCAAGGAATACTGCTGTCATGATGGGGTTTACCTTAGAAGTTGGCCAATATGGGTTTTCAGGGCTGATGCAGATTATTGTAAATCAAGAAAGAATGATAACTGATATTTGGAATGTATTAAACATGATGATTAGGCTTCTACATTAATAAAGAATTCATACATTTTGTTGCTCACCAAGGTCAACCTCTTAAAGCATTATTATTGTTTTCCAAACACTGCTTTAGGGTAATCTGTGGCTGCCTCCTAACTTAGCCACTAGCCCTTAGCATATCCTTAGCCACTGTGAAATAATGTCCTGGTTTGCACTGATGGCTTGTGTGTCTTTTTCAGTTTTCACAGGTTCTGTTTCTGCTAAGGAGACACTGTTGAGACCACAGAGTGACTACAGGCAGAGAGAGATGGCTAAAAATAATGATACTGACAATCAGAAAAAAAGTCAGATATCAGCCCTAAAAATCAGCCAGGCCAATGATTGAACTGTCTCCTAGCTCACATAGTCAGCAACATTGTTTACATCCAAATTAACACAAAGACCCAACGTTTTCCAGTTGCCCAGAGCTTGACACTGCCTCCCTCGGGTTGCCTTTTTCCCATAACGCATCCTGCAACCATCTCTTCTCCACCCAAACAATGCACACACAGCTGGCTGGTCACATGTTGTAAAAGAAAACCTGATTCATCAGATCAAACCCCCTTCCTCCACTGCTCCATGGTCCAGTTCTGACGCTCCTGTGTCCATTGTGGGTGCTTTCCTTGATAGACAGGGGTCACCATTGGCATTCTGGCCAGCCTGCTGTTACACAACAAGCTGTGACTCGCTCTGACAACTTTCTGTCATATCAGCATTAAGAATTTCAGCAATTTGTGCCACAGCAGCTCTTCACTGGGGTCTGACTGCACGATAGCACACATCAGCCAGCCTCGAACGCCCAAGACGTTGTCACTAGTTTATCGGTTCTCCTACCTTGGAACGCTGTTAGTAGACACTAATTACTGCATACCAAACATCCTACAAGCCCTGCTGTTTTAGAGACTCTCTCACCTAACAGTCAAACCAGCAATTCGGTCCTTGTCAGAGTCACTCAGATCCTCACATTGCCCATTTTCCTGCTTCCTGCACACCAACCTAAAGAACTGACTGTTCACTTGCTGCCTAATATATCTCAACCCTTGACAGGTGCCACTGACATGTTTTTTTGTTTTTTTGGCAAGAACTTTTCCTCATTTATCTCCCCCAACTTCCTAGTCTCTCACCACTACAGTTATAAATGAGACTGGGGATTTGAGCCTCCCATGTCGTTCAGTTTCAACCCCACCCAGTACCTCCCTGCTCTCTCTCTTCCTTTCTCCCTCTATCCAATACAACACCGCTGGCAGCAGCTAATCCTCTGACAGAGAGTCCATAGTTTCACATGAACTGCAGGGTCAGAGTGAGGGAGAGTGTAACACGGAGACACTGGGACGGAGGTGGTTAGCGAGGAGACAGATAAGGTCAGTCAACCATTCATCCAGGTGGAAGCTAACGGAAACACGCCATGTCCTCTGGAATGTCCGATAAGCAGCGGGAGACAGCGATTGAACAACAGCGAAACAATGAGTTTGTGTGTTTACCTGAGCTGTAGCTGTCTGTGGAGGACTGGGAGATGGAGCGGGACAGGGAGCGCCGGCCGATCTTGGAGGGACGCTTGTTGAACTCCTGCTTCTGGTCGGCAAACTGAATCTGCTGGTTGAAAGGGACATCACAAGAAGAAAGAGATCAGAACTCAGATTGGGACATTGTTTGGACACACAAAGACGCACTGTTATAGCAGATCAACAAGACACTTGAAATTCAGCGTCCAGCCATGAAGAGAAAACTTGGGATGTATCCTTTTTTTGACTTAATCGGTTTTTAATTGAGGTCATCCTGGGCTTCTGTAAGGACAGCTTTGATAATAAACAGGATAATGTTTTGGAGATAAGATGCAAGGGAAAAAATAATAATAATAAAAGGCCAGGTGATAAGACCGGTGCCGTCTCTGAGGAGGGAGACCGGCTTTGAGTTCACTCCGACTTTGTAAGATAAAGGACACAATGAGGCTATTATCAGCTGGTGACAAGGCCACACAAGGTACAACAGTTCATTCTGGTTCTGCGAAACGAGTAGGAGGTGTTTGGCTATTCAATCCAATCAGGCCACTAAAGTGACCGTAATTTTACTCCTTTGTTGATCTTTCCACTATTACATCAGAGCCGACAGCCTGATGCACCATGATCGGTCTGATGATAATATCAGAGTCCGAATGGCTGACCTATTCCTACAATAAAACCAAGCAACAAGAACAAGATGTGCCAGTGGGGGTGCGAGCAGGGACATCTGAAGCATGACATTAACTTTTTATCATTCTTGACTGTCTGACCCCCAAAAAACCCAATGGTGAGTTTGAAAGGCATGTTATGTGGAGCTAAAAAAATGACAAAATTACAACGTTTATCTGAGCTAGAAACCACAAGAATGGAGATAATTGTAGGATTTGCAACAGTCTTTGAAGTACTCATCTGTGAAGTGCTGTTAAAGTGGAAAATTTCCTAAAATCTAAGCTTTAAAATCATGATATTACATTAAAATCTCTGCATTCTATGTGCCTCATTTAAAAATGTGCCAAGTACAACGTTTTCACCAGCCAGATTCAGTAAAAAATAAAAAAAATTCTGCACTCTTTGGCGCAACTGTTAAGCTATTAATGAATTGGCTGTGACCAGCGGTCCCATGACAAAAAAAAAAGTAAATAAATAAATAAATCACTGAATTTTTAACTGAACTGGGCTGAACTGCAGGTTGTGCTGCTTACACAGGAAAAAAAGACATATGGAAACGAATAAAAAATGTAAATAATAAAATAAATACAGTATGTTGAGCCATTATTATTTAGACCTGGGGGCACTTCGAAAAATATGGTACATGTGGAAACCTGAATTTTCCAAGTGTTGTGAAATGAATGACCGAAGAAGCTCAACTTTAGTTTTGTCTTTGTTTTGAATCATTAGGTTTTAACTGTGTCATACTTTTCTGATGTCTCTCTACTTCTGGTCATGGTTGTGGCATTCCCCCGTTTGGAATTGCAGCAAAACATGAGCCCACAGTGAGTAAAAGCGTGACAAGAGAAACATCTAGGCACTGCTTGCGGTTCAAAAACTAAAATGGAAAAAACAAGTGGTTGGATGACACTAAACAGCAAATCATTCTGTCAGGATAAGACCTGGAGACAGAGATGCCACAGTCCTCTGATAGGTGGTGAAAAGCTTTTACAGATTTGATAAAAAGCCTCTGACTGAGTACCATTCACTCACTCTTTAGCATTCTCCTTTACAACAGATTGCCCTTGAATACAAAACAAGCCAATATTTTTAGATAGTGAATGAGAGACTTTAGAAAATAAAAACAGTGATTCAGATACATCCTGTGTACACGTCAAATACCAGGAGGCCGTGTGAGTGTTTTCATTCACGTGTTTATTCTCACAATGTGTGAGACACTCAGAGCCGTTGTGCAATCAAAAGGAAAATTGAGTCATCACTACCACAGGTCCGAAACGAACAGTATCAACCTTTTCCTCGCTTCTGTTTCCTGCTTTTTTTTCCCTCCCTCCCGGTTCAGTGACCTTCTATTTCTTAAGTAGCTGCACTGCAGCAATAATGCAGACAAGAGATCAGACACCTTTCAGAATAGGGGTATTTGGAAAGGTGCGATATTAAAGCTCTCCAGGAACAAGACGGCCATAAACACCAACACGGATAAGCAAGGAAACAATCTCCTGGTATTGAAACTGTAAAACTACTTTATTGCTTTCACTCCCAATATCAGCCAGCTCTCAGTAGAGGTGCAACAATGAAATGATAAGTTGTTGAGTATTAAATGAATCATCAACTGTTTTGGTAATCAGAATCAGTTTGAGTAAATGTTGTTGAAGTCCTCCTATTTCCAGCATCTTGAAATTGAATATTTTCTTTACTCATCTACGACAATAAACTGATGATCTTGGGGTTGTGGGTAGGACGAGACATTAGTCATCCTGGACTTCTGCAACCACTCATCCAACATTTTCCACCATTTCTGACATTTCATAGACCAAACAACTAAATTAGGAATGATCAAAATGTGAATCAACAATATAAACAATCACTACTTGCAGCTCTGTCAGCAACTTTTTGCTGACGAGTATTCTTCGCTTCATCCAGACAACAGTATTCTCAACATCCAGACGCTAACATCAGGGCATCCTTTACCTACAACCCTCTAAGGTCTGGCTAACATCCACCTCTCGTCCTTACCTTCTTCACACAGGGCTCACTGCCTTCCCCGTCCTTTTTCTTCTTCAGCATTGCCACATGTGCGTGGGAGTGTATGTGATGAACGGTCTGATTCAAGGCCTTGTGCTATTGAGGTGATTTCATCTGTCAGGGTCTGATCGTTTCATAGGCAACACCTCTTCACCCCCGGCCTCTTTTTCAGCCTCTGCTTTCCAGCAATCCAGCCCAAACTGGTCCGACCATGTGCCGGCAAACACAATGCGATGAATTGTTTCCCTTTCCTTTCATTTCTTCCCCTCCCTCCCGCGCTCTCTCCTACCTCGGTATTCTTGTTTAATTGTCAATTGTTTGAGAGATTGGGGTCCCGGAGTTGCTGGTATCAAAACTGAAGCTAAGCTTTACTTCTGCTGACCCAAGATGGTTACGGTCTGTAGGACGCAAGCTAAGAGTATTAGGAAAGGCTATTGAAAACAAGGTGAAGGTATATAACCCTCTTTATGTAAGAAAAAGTGAGAAAAATAGGATGATCTACGGCCCTTGTGAGGATCCAAGGAAGTACTGAAGAAGGCTGAATGTGTTTTTCAAAAAGCACAGAGGGATGCTCTGGAATCATTAAACTGTATCACACATTGGAGCGAAAACTGTTTACCAAAACATTTTCTATCCAACAGCTGCCCAAGTCTTTGCCTATGATAAAAACACAGCACACAAGAACACTAACAGCAGGATAAAAGAGATTTTTAAAAAAGCATCAGCAAAAAATCTGAATTTTCAGTAAAAAATTATCATCTATTAAAATAAATGAGTGAGATTTAGTCATAATTTGGATGTGAATACTTGAGTTGTGGCTAAAAACATGCATTGTGAGGTCACAGTGACTTTGGCCACCAAAATCTAATCAGGTCATTGTTGAAGCTAAGCAAATTTGCCAAACTTCCCTCAAGGTGTTCCTGAGATATTACATTCATAAGAATGAAAAATGCAGACGTATAGGTGGACAGACAACTTAAAAAAAAATAACTCAAGATTATGCAGCAGCACCAGCAGCTCTTTGGTGCTGTACTTAAGCAAAGCTGAGCTTTACGCTAATGCTTACGTGCTAAAACGCTCGTGTGGCAGTGAAATGTTAACACTGCAAACATGTCATAAACAAAAGTAGTGGACTTGATAAAGGTGAAAAGTGAACAGCTCAGTAATAACCAAAGTATGGATGATTCATCATGAACGGGAACATGAACGCCTGGACCAAATGTCTTCATCTGTTCAACAGTTGTTCTGACATTTATTGCAAAATCATAACCTCATGTTGGCACTCCAGGAAAAATAAGGAGATTACCGAAGTCTTAAGATTCATATAGTTTATAGATTATTTCACAAGTGTGAACACTTTGATCTACTGGTGCTGGAGGTAAAGTCAAACGACCACCACAGTCGGTAGGATTCATCGTCTGGGGACCACGAATGACTGCACAGAATTTCAGGACCGTCTATCTGATGGTTGTTGAGGTAAAAGTGGTGAACCAGCTGACCTTTTCACACCTTAAGTCATAACAAAGCTTAAAAAAGAAATCTAAAATGGCAGCATCACACCACTAAAAAGAAGTAAAAGGTTGACAAAGAATAAACGGATGCTCTCTTGAGTGGCAGTTTCCACACTGCTCCTACAGCCGTGCATCATTGAAAAGGGCAGCTGGTGGTGCAAACATCGCTGACCCCTAACAGGCTATAATAGGGCTATTGGTCTCTTCAGGTTTACTGGATGGAGGCTAGATGAGGGGCTTTAAGGGCTCAGAGTTGCACTGAAGGATTGAGGGTCATTTTGGGAGCTCAGGAGGGGGGAAAAGAAGGCTTACGAGACGTTTTTGGGACAAGATTACCACAGGTTAGATTAGGCCTCAGAACAGGGGGTGCTGCCAGAGAGAATGACCCAGCGGTTTGCTTGTTCCAGTTCAAAACGAGACCAAGTGTGTCGACAAAAAAAAAGTCACCCACTCTGGTCTGATTTCTATCCTGTAGCTGATCCCTTACATAGAAAAACTTGTGAAAAAAATTGCTTAAATTGAATTAACTTAGGATTTTATATTGTACACGAGCACACAGAAGTAAACACAAATCAGTGGGCGCAGCTTCAGATATTAAGCTATTTTTCCACTTGCAGGAATGGTCAGAAATCTTAGCTTTGTCTGCATATTTGACATATTAAACCGCCAAAAGACATCTCAATAATGTGCATTTTAAGTTGCAGCAATGACACTTCACAATTAAAGATAAGGTGAGACACTACAGGCAAAAATAGTGTTTTCTTGCACTGGTCAATATGAAGATTTTGTTTCCATAACGTCTTTTTTTAGACTTGTGTTTAGGCAGTAATTATTTTTTTTCCCGCTAAAATGTATGGAATGTTTGCAGTGCATTGTTTTAAAGGCTGTT